CCAGGAAGCCAACATTGGACCAATGTTGGGATTCCGTGCATGCAACGAGGACCTCAAATTGGTAACCGACGTTTCTCCCTCGTAGGCCTGTCCTAACTGTCCGATTACCAGAAGTTACATTCTCGATTGCTCTCCCTTTCTAGCACATGGGTCAGAAGCAAATTGGTTTGTATATTGAATCTGAAAGGTTTAGTAGAGTTAATGGCAGTAGGGAGTTGAGAGGAGAGAGTTGCCTCTGGCTTCGTAACTCGTAGTTGAGTGCAATTTCGTTTCCCAGCAAATATTTTGCTTTCCTCAGTGTGAAAATCATTAGGTGTAGTGTGAAAATCATTTAGTGTAGTGTGAAAATCATTTTTCAAAGAGTTCAGTTCTTTCTCGAATCCCCACACCCATCTAGTCTACAGAACATATTTTTTAAATGGCGAAACAGTGCATCCTAAGCAACAATACGACCCTTCCTTTTATTATCTACAAGTCAGTTTACTGTTCAGGGAGTCCCAGGAAAAGGTACTTAATCGTATTTCTTAAATGCTATATACTCGCGCCGAGTTGCGGAGTAAACCAACTTGGGAAAAGAAGGGTCTAATACTCAATCTGACCAATTTCCTCGTCGATACAATTCTGGAGGCGTGGAAGAAAATCGTCCATCACTGTTGCACAAATAGCAAGTGAGAAACTTTGGACCTGGCAAGGCAATGCTTTTGGTCGTCCAAGGACTGTGGGTATGCAGCAGGTCCTTGAGAAAACCCCACAAAAAACGATCTCGTGGGGACAAGTTAGGGGATCGATGGGCAAGGTGTAGGTTTACCTCAACCAATCCAAGGGGGTTGGAAATGTTGTGTCCAAGAACCATCGAAATTCCTTCAGGATAAGCCACCAGGGTTGAAGGTGGGGGGGGGGGGGGGGGGGGGGGGGNNNGGGGTGAGGGGGGGGGGGTGGGGGGGGGGGGGGGGGGGGGGGGGGAAGAGCGAAAAGATTATTGAAATTAGGCCAATCGTGCTCATAGGGCGCGCAGCAGGTTTTCATTCATGTACATTTGAATTGACAACGTAAGTCAAGAGGATTCCCGAATCGAATCCTGTGGGATATTTTCTAGGTTAAGTAATCATGGTTCTATTATGAAGGCAAAAGCACGAATCCAGATGAAGGACATCAAGAGGAGATGGACGGCCTCGGCCGGGAACTCAAACACGAACTGGATGTGACAACTAATCTTGCAGGAACTGGATGCATGGAAACCCGGAAATAAGCGGTATTCTTCCTAGAAATTCCTCCTGCAGCGGACACGAATTGCTCACGATTGCGATATGAAATGAACGAAGTGAAGTTTCGATCTTCCTGGTAATCTACAGACACCGGAGACGTACGAGATCTTTGCTAATGAATGCAAAGGGAAGATCCAATTCTTCGGGCATCGGGTAGGAAAGGAAAAATTCATCATCCTGGCTTCAGACTTTGAAACATCCCATAATTAGAATTCCATAATGGGACGTGAAAAACAAATGAATCTCTTAGGATGAGGGAAAGAGCTCCCAGCTTCTCAGACCCAGAAAAATACCACCATTTCCAACTTTTTAAAGCAAGAAGAACCCTAAAAAATGTTGTGACGAGAAAGAACCATTTAATGTCTAATGTGGAAGGCTACGCCTTTTGAACCCTTTCAAAGAAATACACGAATAAGAAAACCTGCCAGAGAAAGGAACACGGAAGAAATACTTCACGAACAGTAGCAATTTCGCAGTCATGGAAACATCACGTTCGAAAGCTGTGATAATTAGTCCATTTCTAAGTGCCTTTAAGAAGATTGCTTGTGTACAGAAAAATTAGATCGGGTAGGTGGAATGGGTTTTTTATTGAGATTTTTTCTTGATGAATGTATAACTTGATTGACTTTTGTGATAAATTAGTTAATTTGATGAATACTCACTATACTCGGATCAAGGGCTTCCAGATAAATATATACATGTACATACGTATATACAAGATACATTATGAAATTCTTGACGCAAAAAAAAAAAATTGAATCTCCCGGTTTTTAAGCAATGGCACGAATTTCACGATTTCTTCCTTAGCACTACCGTATTGGAAAGATACTCAGACGGAAAAGTGAATATCTCACCGTTTCCTGCGCCATTTTCTCACAAGTTTGGCACAAATAAATTTCACTGACGAACGCACCAAGACAATTTTTAATGAATCACAGAAGTTTTATAGAAATCTCGACAACGACTTGTCATTTAAAAAAAAGCATCCTGTGCAACACACAATAACAATAAAACCCGGTTGTGAAATGATTGATTGGAGGAATCACTTCCCGAAGGGAATCACTTCCTGAACACATCAACAGTGTTGACCACAACCGATGGGCAAAATTTCCGGGCCAAGACCGTGAGAGCGACCTCGTCCTTCAGTTCGGCCTTGATGTCCTTCGTCAGGGCATTCCAAAAATGGATAGCATGACTCAGATTTGAATTTCGAAGGACCTCGTCGAGGGCGTTCCTGGAAAACAGTTTTCTGTTGTGTTCATACGGGACTGGGTAGAAATAATGAGGCGGGTAGACCGTGACGTCGCCACAGGTCACCGTTCCTTCGAAGTTGGTCATATTTTCTTCTCTGCAGCGCTGAAGAAAAACGTTGGTTAGGATGTTCGGACCTGCTCCAGGGATGGAGGTCGGGTCGTAGTGGAGGGCGATGCCATGCATCGCGGCGGAGAGGAAAGGGTGTTTGGGGCAGAATCCCATGAGGGCGCCGTTCACCGTCGTCGCGCTCTCGAAGGAGAGGAAGTTTTGGGAGATGTCTCGTAGGGGCCGGAGACTGATGAAGTCGAGATCCATGTAGATGCCGCCCAGGTTCCAGAGCAGAACGGTTCTGAGGCCGTCGCTGAGGTGGATCCACTTGTAGGGACTAGAGTGGAGGGCGGGACTGCGAGACCATGCCTCCAATGGAGTCCCCAAGAAGGCCGTCTCTAGATCCAAATGTCGAAATTCCACATTGGGAAAATCGACGTTCGTCTCGACATTCGGTCGAGTGTGAAACACGACGATCCTCGTATCGGGATTCATCCTCGCAGTGGACTCGATGGCACAGGCCTGTCTCGAACTCAGTACCAACTCAGTACCGAGTCGTCTGACGTCGCCACGAACAGCACGGTCCTACCCCCTTCCAAGCTGATAGTGGACCCCCCCGGCCGGATCACGCGATCTATGGAGATGAGAGTCCCGCCGCGAAGGAGGAGGTCTGTCAGGACGAAGAGCAGGCACGAGGCAGCGATGGCCTTGAGGATGAAGGCGCGTTGTATCTTCATCTTCTCTTAGATTGCTACGGAATTTTCGTGTCGCCGAACTACAGGAAGAAATGTGGGTAAACTCCAAGAAGACGTATTATTCGTGTGCACGATACGAAAAAGTGGACGGCGTCGTCACTCGCCGCGATCCTCCGGCCGGATTGGAATAATCCATGGAGCGGTGGAGCGTGCGCGCCGAGTCTCAATTGGCGTGTCTCGGGGCTCCACGTGCCGGTATTCTCCCGGAACGAAATTACCATCTTCGGAGTCCGATGGGACGGATGTCGCGGAAAATTACGTGTGTTTAAGTGAAAAAATGCGTCTGGCATCGCTGCTCAGCGTCTTTCTCCCCCCCCCCCCCCCCAAAAAAAAAAATGCTGTCACGGGTTAGTCACGTGACAGGGCACGTCGCGGGCCATAACCACAAATCCGTAATGCAATTTCGATCTTGCGAAAATAAACAGGAAGATCTCGGGAAAGTTTACCCTTCGCATTAGAGGGAACTGCAGTGCAGCGATAACGTCGGCATGCGCAAATGGGCCGAGAAACGGGCCACCTGGGACTTCTCCCCTCCACCCTAATCTTCTGCAATACATCACGATTTCCTCCGAGAATCGGCATAATTGTCTCCGCCGACAGAAGATATGAGACAATAATTAAGTACGAGTTGCTTTTCCGTATTATTACTCATAATTTCTCATAATAATTTTTCATTCCTCCCTGGCAGGCAACGTCGGACCGGCGTTGGGATTCCATGCGTGCGACGTGGGCCTCACATCGGTAGCCGACGATTGTCCCTCGTGGGCCTGTCCTGTCCCTCGTGGGCCTGTCCTGTCCCTCGTGGGCCTGTCCTGTCCCGTTCAGGCTCCATAATCGAACCGCCCTCCCTCCACAAATCCCAGGACACTCCGATGTTTCCATTTTTTAAAAATCATTTTAAAGAAAAAAAGATGTAATTTTTTTCCTAAAAAAATAAACTAATAACAAACAAATGCCTTAAGGATTTCCAGCTATTTCAAGTTCAAGTCCGGCATGAAAAGTACTGAGGAATCCCTTCAAGTCAGTTCTCGCGTCCACATGCATCTTTGTCGCCATCTCGTTTCATTTATGAAAACTTTGTTTGCTGGAGTGTCTGAGATAGATGGCTCGCCCACATGTTAGACAAATGTTGGCCCACACTCGCCCACTCGCAGCCAACGTGGGCCCGACGTGGTGAATCGAAAAAATGTATCATAAATATTTTTTTTTTGTAAAATATTTATTTCCAGGAAATTTCCTTCACTCTCGAAGTTTGAATCCATTCAAATTGTGCTATTTTCTCATTTTCGCGCTGAATGAATTCCTTTTAAATCCTTAAAGTTGCAAAATTGAAATAAAAAATGTGCGATTCGACTCCTAAGCTTCATGCCAAGTCTCAACTTTTTCGTTTAGAAATTTTTAAAGAAAAATAAGCCGATTTTGAAGGCCCATTTTCGTTTTGCGCCCGTGACGTAACAGTACGATTTCGTTTGCAGTTTAAATCCTTCCCAGATGATTTGATTGTTTGGATTAAATGGATTTGGATTATCCAGCACTGTATCCATATCAAACGGAGCAGAGGTGATTTTCAAACGAAAAAAATTAATATTTTTGCAATTTTGAATCTGCAGAAAAAGGAAGCAATGTTCCTCAGGACCCCGCGACATGTCGATCCCCGCGAAATGTCGATCTTCGTGACATGTCGACTTCCGCGACATGTCGTCCCCACGAAGAAGGCGTTTCCCCGCCCGACTCCCGTGGATCGAGTGTTGAAGGACGAGGTCGCCTCGACATCGAGAAGAGAAACACGACCGACTCTTCACAGGGTGTCGCAAGATTCGTCGCACTTAATGCTTAATAGAAACAAAATTAATTTCATGGTCTACTTAAAAAATATTCTGTTAGAGTTAATGCGCGTTTTATCAAATTTGGAAAAAGGAATGTCCTTGAATGTCCCTGTACTTGCAAATAAACACCGTCATTTGTTTAATTAAAAAATACTGGAAAAATCCATGGCGACTATGGTGTTACTGCAGTCGGGTTTTGTCGTGTTCTTTTCTTCGTGCTTCCTTCATTCCAGCTGTTGTTTCCCGCTGAATAATATTGGATCACCCTGTACGAACGCGCGGATGTATATTTACAGGGAACTGGGAGCAGGCCCGATCGAAAGGGGCGAGACGCGCAGGGACAGCAGAACGCAGCGACGAGCGAGAAGATCGTCCATGTGAAGGAATCGTCCAAGTGAATGCGCGGGAAGGAATCGTCCACGTGAATGCGCGCGAAGGAATCGTCCGCGTGAAGATGACGTCCGTCCTCCTCCCCGTCCTCCTCCTCCTCTCGCTGTGAGTTGCGAAGTGAATGAGCGAGCCGCTGCGTTGTTGTGCTGCGACTTGATGGGACGCGATCGTGCTTTCTTCCTTTCGGCTCTTTTGGTCTTTCTCCAGCGCAGTGGTTCCGTCTTGGGGTGGGAAGATCAGTGGAATTATTTTAGATGAGCTTTTTTCATGAGGAAATTCATGGCAATGACTTTAAGAAAATCATTTCTCTCGTTTGATGCAAATGTGCGGAATTTGCAGAATTTTGCCCTTTGTCGTTCTGCACAGGAAAGGTCCCTCTTCCAAAAGATCTCATGAGTCATGAACTGACCTCATGAATCATGAAGAGGTTCCCTAATGCAATCGATCATAAGCATGCTCGACTACTTTTTCTCCCAACATGCTTTCGACTCCGCTCCCTGCACTTATTGGTACGGCAAGGAAGTACCTGCCCAAACAGCATGTTTATGTTAATTTTACGTAAAATGAATGCAAAGTTTTTGTCCATGAATATATATTTGGAAAATATGAAATTATTATATATTTTTTAATAATATATGACTCAGGGAATCATTAAATGCTGAAGTTAAGATTTTTATTACAGCAGTGCACGGGATTAGGGAAGAGTAGAANCGGAGTCCGATGGGACGGATGTCGCGGAAAATTACGTGTGTTTAAGTGAAAAAATGCGTCTGGCATCGCTGCTCAGCGTCTTTCTCCCCCCACCCCCCCCCAAAAAAAAAAATGCTGTCACGGGTTAGTCACGTGACAGGGCACGTCGCGGGCCATAACCACAAATCCGTAATGCAATTTCGATCTTGCGAAAATAAACAGGAAGATCTCGGGAAAGTTTACCCTTCGCATTAGAGGGAACTGCAGTGCAGCGATAACGTCGGCATGCGCAAATGGGCCGAGAAACGGGCCACCTGGGACTTCTCCCCTCCACCCTAATCTTCTGCAATACATCACGATTTCCTCCGAGAATCGGCATAATTGTCTCCGCCGACAGAAGATATGAGACAATAATTAAGTACGAGTTGCTTTTCCGTATTATTACTCATAATTTCTCATAATAATTTTTCATTCCTCCCTGGCAGGCAACGTCGGACCGGCGTTGGGATTCCATGCGTGCGACGTGGGCCTCACATCGGTAGCCGACGATTGTCCCTCGTGGGCCTGTCCTGTCCCTCGTGGGCCTGTCCTGTCCCGTTCAGGCTCCATAATCGAACCGCTCTCCCTCCACAATTCCCAGGACTCTCCGATGTTTCCATTTTTTAAAAATCATTTTAAAGAAAAAAATATGTAATTTTTTTTCCTAAAAAAAATAAACTAATAAAAAAACAAATGCCTTGAGGATTTCCAGCTGTTTCAAGTTCAAGTCCGGCATGAAAAATACTGGGAAATCCCTTCAAGTCAGTTCTGGCGTCCACATGCATCTTAGTCGCCATCTCGCTTCACTCATGAGAACTATGTTTGCTGGAATGTCTGAGATAGATGGCTCGCCCACATGTTAGACAAATGTTGGCCCACACTCGCCCACTCGCAGCCAACGTGGGCCCGAAGTGGTGAATCGAAAAAATGTATCATAAATATTTTTTTTGTCAAATATTTATTTCCAGGCAATTTCCTTCTCTCTCGAAGTTTGAATCCATTCAAATTTGTGCTATTTTCTGATTTTCGCGCTGAGTGAATTCCTTTTAAATCCTTAAAGTTGCAAAATTGAAAAAAAAAATTTGCGATTCGACTCCTAAGCTTCATGCCAAGTCTCAACTTTTTCTTCTATGAATTTTTAAAGAAAAATAGGCTGATTTTGAAGGCCCATTTTCGTTTTGCGCCCGTGACGTAACAGTACGATTTCGTTTGCAGTTTAAATCCTTTCCAGATGATTTGATTGTTTGGATTAAATGGATTTGGATTATCCAGCACTGTATCCATATCAAACGGAGCAGAGGTGATTTTCAAACGAAAAAAATTAATATTTTTGCGATTTTGAATCTGCAGAATAAGGAAGCAATGTTCCTCAGGCCCCGCGACATGTCGATCCCCGCGAAATGTCGATCTTCGTGACATGTCGACTTCCGCGACATGTCGTCCCCACGAAGAAGGCGTTTCCCCGCCCGACTCCCGTGGATCGAGTGTTGAAGGACGAGGTCGCCTCGACATCGAGAAGAGAAACACGACCGACTCTTCACAGGGTGTCGCAAATTTCATGGCAATCGCAAGAAATTTACATTGTTTGCAAAAAATGTATATCTTGTTTACGTGAACATGCTGCTTGGGTGGAAGTACTTGGTACAGCAAGGAAGTACCTGGTACGTAATTCATTCACGCGGGTGAGTGGTTGCCTCATGCATCAATAGGATTTGGTAGCGCCTACTACCTTTCTTCAATCCCTTGCCGTAGCAAAATTCAACCTACTCGTATTCCTTTCTGAGAGCATCAACATCAACGAAATTTGAATCTCCACCTCCCCGGGGTTGTGGAGAACACCGAATCTCGCTTTTGGCAATTGTGAATTTCATTCCTTTTTTCTCCTCCCCCCCCCCCCCCCCCCCTCTTGGGGAGTGGGGGGGGGGGGGGGGTTTCGAAGGAAAGAGTCGAACCATTAGAAAGATATTGACTCATAGATAACGAAAAGTCCTATTTTTGTTGGTTGCCATGCACCAATTTGCCACAAAAATTGAAATTAGCTGTCATTCAAATAGGCTTAGACTGCTTCCTCGGTACCGTCAAAAGTGTTGCCCGATACGGTGCCGAAATCATGCCTGCTTCAGGACTGCTTCAACCTTCGTATTGGCATCTGGATGTTTTTTTTTAAATACATTTTTGCGTTGAGTTCATGGGTTGAGATGAGAATGAAGCTGTGGTTAGCAGCGATTGGTCGATGTTGTGGGATGTGGAGAAATCTTACTCGGAGATCCCTGAATTAACAAGATGGCGCCCGCCATGGATTTCAAGCTTTCTGGAGGCATTCCCTCCTCGGACCTATTCGAGATGGTTCGAGGAACTCCTGATGGACCTGATGTGCCACGTCCCCACTGAAATGGTTCATGAAACGCGAAACGGGCCTCAAAATCGGTCTAACGTTACACGTCCTCTCTAAAATGGTTCGTGAAATTATGAATAGACCTGCGATTGGCCTAACGTTACGCGTCCTCCAGATGTCCCGAATACAATGGACTCACTCCTACAGGTCTAATTGGCCCCGTAAGTCGAGAATTGAGTTTCTTTGAAAAGAAAAAAGGTTGGCTTTGGGGTGACCTGAAGGCAGCCTGCTGGTTAGGCCTAGGCCTTACGTTAACGAATCACGTAGAAAAAGGGGGGGGCGGAGTTGAAGGAAGGGAAAGTCATAGAAAATTGGTTTTCACATTGCTTCGTTTATTGCACAAAAGTAATAACGCTTGCGAAAGCACTTGCCTCTCCACCCCAACATGCCGAGAGGGCAACCTTACCCAAAGGTTCAAGGTGAGGTAATCACAACCAGGAAAGCACGTCTTTCAAAATTCTCGCGATTATTTTCGAGTCGTAAACATTGCTACCTTCCAGCCTTCAACGTATGCATGCCAACAATTAACATTCTAAAAGGAATTTTCTCATTTAATAACACGAATTCGCGGAACTTTCCAGCCTGAACCCGGGAGAGGCGCAGACAGCCGCCAGCATCATTCCTCAGGGATACGACAAGTCCAGGCCCCCATCAAGTAGGAGAGAGTTTTTTTTTCTTCCTTTTTATTTACTTGTGAGGCGGTGTGAGCGTGCGACGTTTGATGTTTTCGCGTGCAGAGCCGGTGAACGTGGAGATCGGCGTGTATAAGTCTCAGGTGACGGACATCGACGCTGCGAACCAGGTGAGGCCTTCGTTTCCATCAAACATCACATCAAATATTTCCTTCAAACATTTCTCTCAGTTCAGTCAAACGTCAGCGACAGGGAAATAGGATCAAAATTCAGTCGTTGCTGGTTTTTCTTGAAGAATGCGAGAAGAGCCACAATTTCCTTTTGACAGGCAGAGCCATCTGCAGGACATACAAAACACCTATTGGCGACCGAAATGAAATGCAGATGTCAGTGAAGACGGCTGCATTCCTGTTTCCGTCTTCCTTTGCCGAATCCAATGCCGTTCGCATTGCAATTAGGGTCTCCTGCCGTATTTCTCATGCTTCCTCCCTAATTTCTTAGTATTTATGGAATCCTCTTGGGGGATTCCAAAGTACAAAGGGCAAAAAGTACACTCGGAGAACTGAAGACGGCATCCATAAGCATTGGGGCTTCATGCATTCTTCATGCATTTCATTATCTTTGAACTGGGAGAAAAGGATGTCTCCCGCTTAAAAGCTTCTGGCCGCGGACCGAGCAGTTACGCAGTGTTGCCTGATCCTCATCCCCTTCCCCTCCCCCCCTCCCCTCTCAGAAAGCGACGGTGGAGGTGACCCTGCGCGCCTACTGGGACGACCCCCGACTCAAGAACTCCGGCTCGGACTTCCGGACCTCGGACGAGGAAACCATCGCCCGGATCTGGCAACCCGACCTCTTCTTCGTCGCCGCCCTCGCCACCAGCGTCCATCGGTACCCGTCCAACAACGAACTCCTCCTCGTTCAGTCCAACGGCACCGTGCTCCTCAGCAGGCGGTAAGACATCACAACCGATATGAATTATCACTATCTTTTACAAAATAATAAATAAAAATATATTTCAATATTTTATCAAATAAATAAAGTAATTGCGCTTATTTAACATTTTTACTGCATGTTCGTATATACAGGGTGTCCCAAAAGTCACTACACACTTATAATATTTGGAAATGATTTCTTATCTGTAATTTATCATTTATTACTGTTTATAATAAAAAAATGAAAGGGACTGCCGGAGAAAAGATAAGTAAATAATTTTGAGGCCTGTGAAACGCTCACAGCGTCAAGCGTAAATTGAGTTTTGGAACATCCTGTATTAAGAGCATCTGATCGGAAATGAATGAATGACTGCAGATTCACGGTGGTGGTGACGTGCAAGGAGGTCTTCGCGGCGTTCTATCCGATGGATGGCTTCAATTGCTCGATCGTCACGGAGACGTGTGAGTGGGGGGGGGGGGGGGTCTGGATGGTAGACTCTTGCTTTTGGGGGTGGTGGGATTGTTTGGGGATCGCTGAACGGTTTTTCTTTGCGGCAGTCGCGAGCACGGCGGAAACGGTTCGCCTGACGGCGAGGGGAATTTCTTATAACAAAGACGGGGTGAAGAATCAGGAATTCTACGTTCCGAGGGCCGAGATGACGACTCAAGAAATTTCCATCTCCACAGGTGGGTCGATCGCTTCCATAAAAATTTTTTTTCGTGAAATTCACGTGTTTTTTATTATGCAACAAAATGCGACAAAAGGGACGTATTCATCCGTTCTGGTGAGCTTCATCCTCGCTCGGAATCCTCATCGGTACATCGCGGCCACGTTCGTCCCTCTTTACATGGCCGTCTTCGTCTCCTACCTCACCTTCTGGATGAACAAGACCTGTAAGTTATGAGCTAGACCTGTGAGTCATGAGTCAGACCTATGAGTTATGAGCTAGACCTGTGAGTCCGCCGGAAGGTAGACTTATTTAATTCCGCCCGGAAACTTTGGAGATTCCGGCATCCTTTTCTTTCGGGGTTCTTTGAACGCGATGTGAAACTTCTCACATAATTTTTTTTTCTCTCAATGATTTGCTGCGGTGCTCTTTAGTACAGAAAACTGATTATTTATTTTTTTTTTAAGTATTATTTATTTTTTTTTTACGGTTGAGAATCCATAATTTACTACAAAAGGACCACTTCCGGGGGAAATCTTCAGATTGATTAGACTCTCATGACACCCAATATTGTTTCCAGTTGAAGGGGATTTCCAAATTTCAGGGTCAAATTATGACCAAATTATGAATTGCACAATTCTTCAGGAGGGGCATTCGTATCTGAGCCGATATTATTACAATACTGATATTGTTACAATAACTTAAGCCTAACGGTTTGGCGATGGATTCTCTTTCAGCAATGACCGTGAGGCTTCTCCTAAACGGAATGATGCTGATTGCCATTTTCGTGACGGCCCAAAACGCGCAGAACGTAATGCACAAGACGACCGTCTCCACTGTGAGCATCGAATGATGAAGGTTCATTAACTAATGAAGAGCTTGATCGTAATTTTATTCTTCAGGCGATGGACTGGAAGATCTGGATGTCTTTCGCCTTCGTGCTGGCCTGCCTACTGGAGGGAATCGCCCTGGAGATCCTCGAGGGCAAGGTGAGCCATCCAGAAGAAAAACATCCTCCCGAAATTCCCGCGGAATTTTTTTTTTCCGTCCGGTATTTCCAGGGACTCTGCCGCGAGTTGAGCGGGAATACGGAATGGGCGACGGGAAGGAAGGGAGGGGACACGGTGCCCCTGGTGCATTTCACTTCCTCTCCCCCCGGCGTCGATTGGAAGCCTCCCTCTGAGTCTCCCCATCCTCCAAACCAGGAGGATGTAAGTAGAGCTCGGTGTACGCGCCATGTGACTGACCCACGTGATTGGGCCAATTGGCCCAAGTGAACAGTCCATGCGATAGGCCCATATGACTGACCCACGTGATTGGCCCGTGTGACTGACCCATGTGACTGGCCCATGTGATCAGTCCATGTGATTGGCGCATGTGATTGGCCCATATGATTGGTCCGTGTGTTGCGGGAAGTCTTCACATTATTGGTCTTGAGCGATTGCCTGGAAATATGTGGAAATTTGCAGGTTTTTGGAAGAAGTGTCTGATTTCTTTGGCAATTTATTCGAACAGGTTCCATGCGTGCAGGGGTTGAAAGGCTCAGGATGGATTTTATTTAACCTTCGTTTAAGCTGATTCATCGATGAGAGCGGAATCATGGAACTCCTAAATTCGCAAGTAGGAAATAAAAAAAATAAAGCCTTGGAGACTGCGCAAAAAAAAATACGGGGATTTTGTGACTGCGATTTTCGATGCAGTTATTCTGTAGGGTCAGCGGAAGCTTCGATAACCCATCCAAACTTTCTCCCCAATTTTCTCTTCAAGGTGTTTGGAATGTTAAAATAGTATCTTTAAAATTGCGTCAAAGTCAAATTTCTCTAGCTCATCGCGGTCCCAATATCGACTCTCTCCAAATCAACATTTAATTTTATTTGATTTAATAAAATCATTTTAAGGTTTTTTTTTAAACCCCATTAACTCCATCCTGTGAGGTTTGATAAATTGATGGTGAAAAAAAAATACCTGTCTTTTACCATAATGCAAAATCTCATGGGCATAAGAAAGTACAGTGGACTTCACGCGGCGAATCCGTGCAAATTTAAATTCGCGGACTGTTTGAAGGAATTTATTGCAAGAACTCCAAGAAGCACATTTCATGGTGGATCCAGGGCGACTCGAGAGGCTTTTTTTAAAAAATAATTATACTATATATTATATATTTTTAAAAATAATTATACGTGTGTGTCCATTCGGGACCATGTGTCCATTAAATTCGGGAGAAATCTGGGCAGAAATGCTGAACAACGCTGCAAGTTTTATATTTTCTCCTGTCTGAGGAGAATGATGCGGAATGCGCTTTCTCTTGGAAATCGATCGGACAAAAGCGTCTAAAGCCTACCATAGCCGACAATCGCACACTTTCGCAGAAAAAAAATGTTCAAGGTCATTTCTGTAATTTTTTTTATGGCAGGGAAGCGACGGGGCGTCGAGAATAGACGAGGTCTTCCGAATCGCCTACCCGGTCCTCTACCTGCTCTTCCTCGTCGTCTTCTGGATCGCCTGCCTCGCCTGATGGCGAGGCCGACGCGTGTGTCGTTCCTGCGAGGCCGACCTGGCGGTGTCGGCGGCACGCGGGATATATATTTAAAGGGGGAATTCCGGCGTCCCCTTTTTTTTGCGTGCTCGGTCGGAGGCAGATGAGGGGTGGAATGTTAGGTACTGATACGTACCAAGACGTACGGGACCGAATCCTTGTGTCCTTCGTGACGTGCTCCATTCATTAGCTTCTTCCTGTGAATTTCGTTAGCGATGATTTAAATGATGCAGTTGTCTTTCGCGGCGATATCGGCGCCGCCAAGGGAAAATATATACTGGAATAGATGGAGTTTGGGGTGACTCGGAATGAAAATAAAAAATCGCGTTTCTGTGTTTCCGTTCGACTTCATTTTATACGAACATTCCTGATCCGAGGCGGCACATACATTTCCGAAAATATTCTGAAGGGTTTCCCTAAATTGACCTATTTCTTCCATTGGCCGTAATCCGAGGTAATTCCGTAATCCGAGGTGCCGGATTTCCGATTGCACGGGTTGCATCAGGAAACTCTCTTTGATTGAATGACTCTCCTCTGCCTTTCCCCGCGTGAGCACATTTCAAAGAATCCTTTTAAAAATTCTCTTTCTCGGACCAACTTTTCCAAAACTGAAACTTGCCGCTTTTTACCTGCTTTCCAATTATCACAGTTTTTTTTTCAATTATTTAAAAACAAACAAACATCGGTTTTGGTCCAGGTCGAAGGAGCATGCCGAGGAGAGTTGTGAAGGGCACTGAGCACAATTTATTTGCGATAATTGTTAGAAAATGAAAAATGAGAGCAAATGCTCCCAGACAATAAGCTTTTGTTCAGCGAAGAGCAGAACCACTGCCATCAGAAGGTATTGGGGTCTACCGATCTAGTTTCAACAACGGGCGTTATTGAATAACGGGCGTTATTTAATAACGGGCGTTATTGAAACTATTTGAATGAGAACGGGGAACGGATTAACATGGAGGACCGATGTGAGATCGGATTAGATTGGGATAAACAGGTCTGGTGCATGTCACCCATTGTCACCCATTATTGGGTGACAATTATTATGACAGTTGGTGCGGTCACTTTTGCGGTGCACATGTGTTTTGCATGATGTGGTGGTAATTACCTAAAGAAAATTCAAAAATACTTTGGCAATATATAAAATAAAGCGCTTGGATTGGTTTCATTGCAAAACTTAGAACGAAAACGTGACAAAGGATCTAATCAAAAGGAACCAAATTACCAAGAGATGTTACATAATAAATGTATGTTTTTAATTAATCAAACAACTAAATGGAGAAGATGCGGTACATTATGTTCGTGATCTGCAGTTTGAATACAGGGTGGGCCAAAAAAAAATTGACAATTTTTCCGAATTTCTGCCTGATGGCTCTAAAACTATATTTATAGTTATTTTCTGTATCATAATTCCATATCATTATTTTCTAATGACCCACCACGAAATGCGCTGTCGAAAATTTCGATACGAACTTAAAGTCTGTGATCGCCCGCTGCAATAAGCTAAATTAGTTTATTTATTAACTCGGCGATGCTAAGGCCAACCTACTTACAAGAAATACATTTTAAAAAATGCCTAGGTTGAATAATTATGTGGGATTTAAAAATGTAAATAAAAAAAAAAATATATTTAGGGGAAAATGCGCGATCAAAAGTGCCTAACGTGACAATTTACGAAAAAGTGAAATTTATTAAAAACCTGCGACTTGTTAAGGAGTGGGCTTCAATTCCAAAATTTGATTAATCTGGTGGCGAAATTTCATGTTTAAAATAAAAAAATGAACGCTTACTTTTTTTGCGAACTAAATTAAATGCGATTCTCGCGGTTTTTGGAAATTTGATTTTAAATTCAGCAAACAAACGCGAATTTTGAGTCACCCTATATGACAAAAAAATTTTTTCGCAAGAATCTGCAGGCTAAAATCAGATTGAAAACTTCGCCAAAAATGACAGCTAATTTTTTTTTGCCCTACCCTGTATATTCCTTTTTTTTTTTACTCATCTGACTAAAGGGAATTTTTTTTACATGTTATATATTAACGACTGCTTGCAACATGAGTTGCCCGGTGTTTCCTGTTGGGAAGAATTCTCGCAAATAAAATAAATACAAATAAAAAAAGTTTATTATTTATCCTGTTATTTTTCGACGAACTTCCCGTTTGCATGGTCGCAGGCGTTTTCATCGCGATCCGATCTCACACGCAAGATTTTGGTCGGGAATAAATTGCATTGCGTTTCTTTCTCGATTTCCGTCGGTACTTAAAAGTTAAAGTGCCAACTGTCGACAGTTGGCAGTTTAACTCGGTTGAGGAAGACTCAACAAGCTCGAAAAGGTCTTTCGTGATCTTTCAATATATGCAGTATGAGGAGCGTTCTGTCTTTTTGAAGTGCGGGCACAGACTCGTATTTTGCATATAAAAACGTTCCGACTTGGAAGAACCGGCTATGCAAATCGGAAGCACTTGCACTTTCGGGCCGTTCTCTTCATTCCCGTATCACCGAGACGTGTTTGGAATGGAAAAGAAATTCGCATTGCCCTTGGACTTTGGTATATAAGTGCTCGGATCCCGAAACGCCCTACACTTTGGCATTAGGTGCGACCTCCTTTTTTCGAGTTTCCGATCTCCACGGGCAGCTTTAGCTTCTAGCAGCGCCGATGCTTTTGGCAGCGCCGATGCTTTTGGCAGCGCCGATGCTTTCGGCTCTTTTTCCATGGACTCAGTCGGATTTCGTCGAATCATAATCGCTCGATTCGCGTATCGCCTTGCACTTTTCGTTTTGCTGTTCGTATTTGCCAGCTGATTGAACGAAGAAACGGTATCAACTTCTTCAATTGCTTCATCGAGGAAACGCAAATCCCAGCTGAAAAGTCCATAACCATTAGAATATAAAATAATCTTATCGTTTTCTGCGTCTTTCTCCATCTTGCTGCGTGATTTTTTCTGTTAACATCAAGTTGGTAATAAACAAGCATATTGATGTAAAGTTGTAAATATAAACTCTTTTTCAATCGTCCCGATTATTGCCTTTTCGGGTCTTTACATGCCCGTTACACTGCCATCAAAATTTATGCAGTTCCATACAGTATTATTTTAAACATTTATTATTTATTTTATTCTTTTATGAAAAATTATAACTTTTATTTGCTTTCAGCTGCCTTTTAGATGATGGAAGCCAACTTAAAATAAGTTGGTTTCTCGAATTTCGACAAGCTGATCGCTTGCATCTGTAATTTCGATTTTAAAGTTTCGCAGACGAAGCCTTTCAGCACTTTCGTGAAAACTGAGAGTCTTAAATTATTTGAATGTATAAAGAAAATATTTTTCGTGCGGGGTTTGTAAATACTTTGGTCTCCTCGCGGGCCGGATTTTAATTTCGCACTTTTGAACCCGAAGGAGTTGCACATTAAATGTGTTTTCAAATCTTTGCTATTTCATGCTACAAAAAAAAACATGAAAGAGCAAAAGCCGCTCTATATATTTACAAAATTTCTTCCTTTTTCGCGTAAAATGCATAACAAGTTTCTCGATGGTTTGTAGTTTTTATATTAATTTTTTTCTCTCACGAAGTTCGTACCTAACACCTCTGAACAAAAAGGCGTGACATTGTAAGTACTTAGGTCGGAAGTACGTGCCGTGACGTCGGACGCATGTGCCGTGACGTCGGACGCACGTGCCGCAAGAGCCTGGCACGAATCGCTGCATCGGAGCCGGCACCGGCCTCCTCGAGCGACGAACATCCCAATTGCTCGGGTTAGATGCTCATGTGACGCACGTTAGATGCTCATGTGGCACGCGTTAGGCATACCGTGACGACATCAACTGTCGTAACGTTTCCTGCTGTCGACTTTTTGCTGCCGTTACTCTCCAAATAGATATGGTACCTGGTATAATTCCGAGTCACTTATCATTCAGTACTCCGCATGTTCTCATTTATTTTATTGTTATATAACTTTCTCGATTTTGATATTTCATATACTTTCCTTAAATGTAAGCGATAAATATTTTTAAAACCGTTTTTTAATTGAAAAATTTATTTCCGATTATTCTTGTTCCATGTCGATAGCATTCAATAAGTAATTATTCAACTAATTATTCCGTATCTTTGGCTATTTTCCCTCCTCATTTTTAAGATTCTTTCTGAACGCAAATAATTGCAAGAAATAACAATGACATGAATGTAAATAATAACATTCAAAATTCCTGAAACTCGAGGCAACTTAAATTAAGTGCGAATTAACTTTCGATGTTTCTTTCTGAGAAAATTTTAAATTTGTTTCGTCCATCGGAACAGTTGAAATATTTTTCCTTTTAGATTTTTTTTTCTTCACGTTTCCTCGAAAATGAAACCCGAAGAAATCTGGGAATCTAAATGCCGTACCGTGATCCGGGTATCGATACGGATTAGCTTGTTGATTTACTTATGATGGTGGTGCCTCGTGGACCTGTGATCCTGAGCTATGATCCTGTCCTGAGCTATGATCCTGTCCTGACCTGTGATCATGTCGCCCCGACATCTGAGTTAGAGTCAATGGGTGGATTGCATAAAACTCACTTTATCCGTAAAAGCGCATTTAATTTGCCTGTCTTGCCGTGGAAATTTGAACGGCAGACAGAAAAGCTCTTGCCACCACGCGGTGCCGTATCCATTAATGAGGTGAAGTCGTGACACCTAGCCCCCTCTCCGCCCTCCCCGACCCCCATTGGCTTCTTAGAATTTATTTGCCCGACCGAGAACGGTCTGAACCGGTCTGAACCGGTCGCAGACCGGTGTTAGGGCCAAGGAATGACCGCCGTTACAAGATAGCCGTTAAAGATTTCCCTTTCTTATTTCCTTTTCTGAGAATATCTTGTCTGTTCGGAGTTACGGTAAACGCGAAGGCAAGTCTCGGCAGCAAAGAAAATAGCTTATACGTTTTGTTGCCTGAAGCTTCGAGGACCTCTCCCTGTTTCGAAACAGGGAGAGACTTTGGGTAGATTGCATGAAACTCACTTTAGCGTAAAGGAGCTTTAAACCTCCTTTAACCCCGCTAATGGAGCTTTAAACCTCCTTTACGTTAAAGTGAGTTTTATGTAATCCACCCATTGACTCTAACTCAGATGTCGGGGCGACATGATCACAGGTCAGGACAGGATCATAGCTCAGGACAGGATCATAGCTCAGGATCACAGGTCCACGAGGCATCCAACTGAGCAAAAGTATGAATGCAGGATGTGGGCAGATGAATGCCGTTCGAATAAGTCAATCTATTTTATGATGATTTCAGCTTCCCACACTGAACTTCTGGAAGGCCCCCCCCCCCCCCCCCCCCCCCCAAGGAATTCATGTCTAGTCGGGTGGAAAGGAAGGAGACAGACGAAGGCACCAGGCTGTGAAAGGGAAATGCCCTTTTTCCTTTCTCTGCACGGAAAAGAACGACTTGATTCAGGACGGCCTCCCTTCCATTCGGTATGATGGGAGGCGATGAGTCCATTCGACTTCCATTCCGCAATTTCGCCGTTTCCTCGGGAGGAATATTTTAAAATTCCTCTTCACTTTATTTATTTTTTCAAACTCCTTCTTCCCGAAGGAGTTTACTTTGAAAAATTAAGATTTTTCTTGAACCAGTCGGGACTAATTTTTTAAGTTTTTTTTTTCGAAAAAACGGGGAGGGAAAAATCATGAGAGGAATGAATCCGGAAGGAAAAAAAAAAACCGGAAGAGGAAAACCACGACGAGAAGGCAAGAGACATCGCAACGGGAACCAGTTATTTACTCTCACAAGAAAAAAAGAAAAAAAAACCTGACAGCCGAGAAACAGCAGAAGGCCACGGCAACGGCAAAAAGAATTAAAAAAAGAAAATGGAGACACTGACACGATGACAGGGCCTTCCCTGTCTTTCGTTCCATCCTCCCAGAATCCTCCGCCTTTTCCACTTCCGGATCGACCCGCCCTCCCCGATCCGGCCCTGCCCGATCCGGCCCAGCCCGATCCGGCCCAGCCCGATCCGGCCCAGCCCGATCCGGCTCGGCCCGTAACCAAGCACACCAGGATGAATTTTGAGCCATCCGGTCCGTCATGAAACGTCGTGGCCCTGGATTTCAGGGAGGGTACAAGCGCCCTTAATAGTTTGTTTTTGCAACTCTACTAAAGGTCAATCTCTTAATGCGATTAACCACTTGCTGCCCATCTTACTGCTCATCTTACTGCCCACCTTGACACATAGTGATGATATTTTTATTATTATTTTTATTTTATTTATTATTTTATTGTATATTATCTTGCTGTTTATTTTTACCGATTATTTATAGGTTTACTGAGCAAGTGTAACAATAAGGACTTTTTTCACATCAAGACTTAAAGAAGGTGGGCTATCGTCTCGACAATCGCCCCCAATTGCCCCCTCCCCCCCCCCTTTTAAAAGTTAATAAAAACTTTCGCAATTCGTCGAGAAAACCCATCAATAATAACGAATCGGTCAGAGAGTGACCAGACGAATCCAACAAGATCCTATTTAAAGGCTCAAAGACTTTTTTTTTTCCCATGAAGAACGCTCAAAAAAAAATCGGCCGAATCCATCACACCATTATAATAATTAGGCACTCATTTAAATCACATAATACCTCCGTAAAAGCGCATTTAATTTGCCTGTCTTGCCGTGGAAATTTGAACGGCAGACAGAAAAGCTCTTGCCACCACGCGGTGCCGTATCCATTAATGAGGTGAAGTCGTGACACCTAGCCCCCCCCCCCCTCCGCCCCCACACCCCCCTGCCCCCCTCCGGAGTCCCCGTCGGCCTCTCGTTCAGAAATTGGACGAGGCCGGAGGCGTTCTCCCCCGGTCGGGTCGGGCGAGTGCGGAGGTCGCGGCTGGGAGTGCGCACGTCGAAGAGAGGGAGGCAGCCGCTAATGAAAGAGTGTGTATATGGCTCGAGTGTCTCGCCAAACAAACATTATTAGGAATAAAACAAAGCGTCGAGCCGCGTGGAAACATCACCCGAACGAGATAGGAAATAGCTGCTGGACCGTGAGGAGCGGGCTCGCCGACGTTCGCCTTTTCTTGCACGCGAGAAACTGGGACTTTCATTCCCGTCTGCATCCAATGGATGCACGTCGTTCCTGATCGGCCCCGTGCCTCTTCGGAGAACCCGGTCGACGTGGCTCGAGGCCGTGCGGAGGATTTCGTGGCGGAAACCGACATCCCCCGAGTTGCGAGGCGGCACCGTGACTTCATCGGTGGCACACCTCCCCGCTCGACCCGACCGCTGCCGACTTCCACCGATGGGGATGCGCGAAGGACAAGGTGCATCGAAACCGTCCGACGTCTCTGCCCGTGCTCGAAGACGCCATTCGTCGCGCCACGGCTGCCATCCGTCACGCCACGGTTGCCATTCGTCACGCCACGGTTGCCATTCCCAAGGGCATGCTCGGTTGCGACGTCACGACGCGTCTCGATTCGCGACGGGGAGATACCGAACGGCTGTCGCTCGATGCAGCGCCACGGCATCCTTATCTCCCTGACCTTATTTATGGATTTCGTGCAAATTTGGATGCGCCATCACGGAGTCATTCCTCTCGGAATCGATCGCGAGACTCGATAACCATCCTGTATTTTAGTCTGCCTTTCCGAGACGACAACCCGACTCGATCACCCCTCCCCCCCGAAAACCATTCACTTCCGAAAGATTCCCCAACAAAATCGCTTCCGAGTCCGGAAGGACAGACCCGAGATACCTGTTACCGGAACGAACGAAAGCGGCAGCTAACAAATATTCGGCATCCACGCCAGCCCGAAAAGAAGTTGGCAGTCTCACAAACACCCAAAAATAACCGAGGCCAATATTTAAAAAATTTATGCCGAAATTCGGGATGAACCGACGCCTCAAGGACCCCACGATTATTTTCGACCCCCATCAGCTGACTCCCCCTTCCCTCCCCTCCCCCCCCCTTCCCTCCCCTCCCCTCCCCCTCCCCCCCTCGTGACTGTCCTTGAGTGACCTTCATCGACGCCATGTGGCACGAAGGATTCGCGTGACTCGCCTCCTGGCAGCCCGCCAGCCACCCCGACTCAGCCGGAGACGAGAGGATACCTCCACACTGCTCCTCCACACTGCTCCTCCACACTACTCCTCCACACTACTCCTTCCCCCTTCGCGAGGATCCTTTTTGGCGGTGCGACTGCGAATGTGTCGGTCGTGATGTTCCTCCTGATTCCCGTTCTCCTGTGAGTCTCGTCGTCGTCAATATTGCCTTTCGACAATATTGCCTTTCGACAACATTGCTTTTTGACAATATTGCCTTTCGACGACATTGCCTATCGGTCGAGAACCGATATCGTCTAGACGATTCCGCGACGACTCACTGCGGCCTCCTTTTATGCAAACCTTCCTGAGAGGATTCTGCACGAACGAAGATTTTTGCAAAAAAAAAAAAAGGTTTCGGCTTACTTGGCTCATTTGGCTTACATCTACCGGCTCATTTGGCTTACATCTACCGGCTCGATCCAAGGGAGTGGGGCACACCCAAGAGTTTCTCTTCATTTTTATGCAATTAAATTCCTGCCTCGTCGAGGAGAAAACATGCAATCAGACGTCCTTCGATCGAATGATTTCGAAATGAAATGTTTATTTATTTCAAATATATTTTAAAGTAAATGCGTATTTTTTTATATTAATATATATATTTATAAATATAACTTAATTGTATGCAGGCTGCCGGTGCTGGCAGGGGCCCAGCAGAACCATGCACTTCTGGAAAATCTCCTGAAAAACTACGACCGGGACACCCCGCCCAAAGGTAATTCGTAATTGTGATTTAGTTTTTTTTTTTTTTTTAAATATATAGTTGTGTTGTCGTTCCTGAAGGAAAATAACTTTCTCGACGCAGTTCCGATGAACGTGGACATCGGCGTGCATCTCATCAGCATCCCGGAAGTGGATTACGAGGATCAAGTCGGTTTTCTTTTCCTTAATCCTTTCTCGAGATTATCGCAGGGAAAAAAAAAATTCGAGAAATTTCCTCTGGAAAATTTGAGACAGAAAATAAATTTGAAAGAAGTACCAGCTGCGGAGAAAAAAAAAAAAAAATCGAATTCGCAATTCAAAAGGCTCGACATGGAATATTTGCACTGACTTCTGGTCGCGGCTGCAAATTTTTCCCGCAATCTTCAGAGTGGCTAAACTATTTCAAGGAAAATTCTGACCCATTTTGAGATATTAATTTTTTCCCTCTGTATTCTCGGTGTTTATTCGCCCAGTATTTTTCTCTCGGTATTTTTCTCTCGTTTTTTTTTTTTTTTTGAAAACATTAAAATAAAAATTGGCGCCGCAGAAAGCCCGGCTTGAGGTGTTCTACCGTGCCTACTGGAACGACAGCCGGCTCCGGATATCCGGCCCCCAGGAGATCAAGACCACGGACCAGGACATGATCGACGGGATCTGGAAGCCCGACCTCTTCTTCGTGAACGCACTGGAGACGAAAGTCCACAAGTACCCGTCGAACCAGGAGGCCATCTCCGTCAGTGCCGGCGGGAACGTGGTCTACTCGCGAAGGTGAAAGCATTTTAATATCACCCTTTTCTTTAGTTTAAATTCTAAATCATCGATTTGAATTTAAAATATTTAAATGAGGTCGGGTTCACGGAGTCGGAATTTTTTTTCCAGGCTGTCGGTGACGGTGGAATGCGAGCGAGAGGACGCGACCTATTACCCGTTTGACAGCCTCAAGTGTTGGCTCGACACCGAACCCTGTGAGTACTCCGAAAGTACTGTTAGTACCATATTAATATTAATATTAGGAGTGAATTTTTAATAAGTTTATTAAATATTTTTTTTTTGCGCTCGATCGGGCATTCGTCCTGCCGGAGGAATAATAATACATAAAGAATGAATTAAAAAATTATTTTATGAAAATGAAATATTTGAATGAAAATAATTCAACAGTTTCATTAGCTAATGACAATGACTTCATAACAATGACGAAACATTGACATTGACCGACGCGCGTTATCTCAAAGTTCTAATAGATTTTAGTATTTATCACCGAGGCCCGTTATGAGAATTCGATCGAATTTCGTATTATGCGGCGAGACGGCGTGAGATCAGGTGAGCAGGTGACGCGTTCGCCACCTGCAACCACCTGCGACCACCTGCACAGGATAAACCGTATATGGTCATTTTAGCATCTCTGACCAGCCTTTATTTCGACTTCCTCCACTCGGAGCGGGGTTCGGGAAGATCAGAATCGAAACTGAAACACCTGAAATGGAAATCGAAACACTTGAAATGGAAACCGAAACTTGAAACGCTCGAGTTGTGCTAAACTCAAATTTTTATCGCAAAATTTTCTCTTAACGCTGGATTTGCCCAGCCGACTAAATTAGGGCGAGGGATTAAAAAATTACGGCTCCCCCTTCATTCTGAAGCCCTTCGCCCACAATAAGGTTCACAGATAAACCTTAATTAAGTTAAGTAATTAATAACATTTCTGACGGTGAAGTTTCCAGCACCCGGGAGAACCTGCGACTGAATTACCGGAAGGCCGACTACAGCGGAGAGGTGAAAGGGCAGGAGTCCTACGTCAAGGAGGTCGGGGGACAGGTCGCGGAGATCCAAGTGCCGTCGGGGGGTGCGTTACCGGTATCATATATATATATTATATGTATGGGTGTTATTTAATTGTGGGGGTTGGGGATGGCAGAGAGGTATTCGAGGGTGTCGGTGATCGTCGATATCGGGAGATACCCGGGTCGGTACATCGTGAAGGCCGTCGTGCCGTGCTACGCCGCTGTTCTCATCGCCTATACCACGTTCTGGCTCAACAAGGGCGGTGAGTCATTTATTTATTTATTTATTTAAATTCGGTAAATTATTATTGACATTTTTTGGTGCAGCGATGGTGGAGAGGATGCTGGGCTGCGTCCTCATGATGATCGAGGTCTTTACCACTGCCGGTCATGCTCACCACGACATGGACAAAATGGCTGTGACCACCGTGAGTCGATCATGACGAGTCCGTGTATTTTATTTATTATTTATTATTATCATTTTATTAATACATGTTATTTGTTGGTTGCAGGCAATGGACTGGAAAGTCTACATCTCCTTTGCCTTCGTCCTGGCTGCCTATTTGGAGTCCCTCGTCATCTGTATCCTCGAGAGGCGCAACAAGGTGAGGAAGAAAAGTAATAATAATAACATATATATTAAGAAAGTGGTAACATAAAAAAAAATTCCTAACTCAGAAAGATCATCAAGAAAATGACTGTGGTGACATTCCTCATGATGTATGTTCGACCAAAGGCGACAGGCCATACATCAATGGCAGCAAGAACCTAAAAATATATCATTCTCTGGCTCGCAATTTTATCTGAAAACTTTAAATATATTATTATAAGAATGGTATTTCATATAATAATGGTATTTCATATAATAATGGTATTTCATATAATAATGGTATTTCATATGATAATGGTATTTCATGTCGGGCGAAGTCATACCTGGAGAAAACGCACCGTCAATAAAATAAATTACGGAATTGCATTACCTGTAGGAGACGATCTTCAGTAATATTTAAAGGCCACTTGACCTTTTTGACCTCGATCGATTGACCTTAGGGGGCGGGCCCGGAGACGCCTCAGCTGGATGTCATCTCCAGGATCGCCTTCCCCATCGCCTACCTCCTCTTCGTCGTCATCTTCTGGATCGCCTGCCTCGCTTAGAGATGGATGTTAGTGGGGTTGCAGTGTAGGTGGATGGGGTTGCAGTGTAGGTGGGTGGGGTTGCAGTGTAGGTGGATGAGGTCGCGTGAAGGACTTCCTATTTCTAGGCCGATTATTTCTCTTGCCCCTTTGATGTCTCGTGACTGTGGCGCTCGGTTCAAGAATGTCTGGGTGGGGGAGGCTTTGGGAGGGTGCCAGAGGCCGTGCCAGCTCCTTTCTCTTTTGTGTGTTCGGTGCCGGATTTTCTTCTCTTGCGTGATGAGCGACGTGAATGTGATTTTTGTCGATGAATAAAAGAACGGCTTGGTCGTGTTTCTCGCTCGCCTCGTTGAGAGGAGCCTCGTCGAGACGCGACGAGTGAGCGGTGGAAAAATATTACCGGAGGGAACGGACGAGAGGCACTCGACTGAGGATGAAGGGATGAAGATGAGGGGATGAGGATGAAGGGATGAAGATGAAGGGATGAGGATGAGGGGACAGCAAGGTTGCTCGGTCTCCGGGTTTCTTTCGCTCCATACTTTCGATGGAACAGGGAGAATTTCGACTCGTGGAATTCCACGAAATGCAATGCATTTACGGCTCGCTTACTTCCCATCGCTTTGCATAGCGAAGGAATGGAACGTTGCCACGAGTCAGGCTATGGAATCTGGCAACCGCGGCAGTGTGCCGTGTGCCGTGTGCTGTTGAGGAATTCGACGGATTCGACGGCGAGTCGCAACGCGAGCGACACCGAGCCGAACTCGGTGCGTGCCGGATATAAGGCCGGATTTAAGGCCGGATTTAAGGCCGGAATTCTGCTGGGCTAATTAAGCCTGTCGCGAGGATAAAATAGGGATGAGGACAGATGACAACTGGGACGAGGACAGACGGCGACTGGGACGAGGACCGATTCGTTCCCTGACACTCCCAGATGAAGTCATTTTCGCTCTGAGACCGTGCACGAAGGGACTGCCAGATCCTCCTGCAAAGAGGTCAGGGCGACGGTAATGAATGGACTGCGAAACTCAAGCCCGGGCGGAGGCATCCTGCCAAAGCGAATTCGTCTGGCGTCTGGCCGGGGAAATGGGGTTCGGGACGACCGAAACAACTTATATACTAATAATAAAAAAAGGTGACTTGTGAAAGGTAGCGAATGATGAACGATGAAATAAATTAGGTCCCAGGCAGGAGCAAATGAAGTTTGAAATCCTGGAAAAGACTGCCGGCCGGATCCAGATCCGGATCTGGATCCGGATCAGATCAGCGCCGAAATCAAATGCAGAAAACCGCATGGAGATGTTCGGATGAAATCTCGAAATGGATGAAATCTCGAATTGGACGAGATCTCGAAATGGATGAAATCTCGAAATGGATGAAATCTCGAATTGGACGAGATCTCGAATTCCCAGGGGTCACCGAGAATTTTCGGCGCATCGAATTGAAATGCATCGAAGTCGATCCCTCGCGCGAGAGACATCTTGCTCCCATCATCGTTACTAACGTAACACCATCGTTACTCCCATCATCGCTCATCGAGTCTGACGAGAAGCAGGACGGCGGGGGTGCGAACGGGTCGAGTCCGTCCTGAGTACTTCGGATGCATAAACAGAAATTCAGGATGGAAAAAAAGTCGCATTTTGTCCGGGTCGGAACCGCGACATCTGGCATCACTGCTCGTGGAAAAAAAATGAAATGAAGAGGTGCCTGCGGGGACAAAATGATCATGAATGGAAGTCTTTTGTGAGCGCCAGAAAAAAAAAAGAAAAAAAAAACAAACAGGGAATGGATCTAAAGCTCCACGGTGAGCTTTTGGGGCCAAAAAGAGTAATTGACTCTTTTGCAAAGTGTGCAAAAAATTCAATTTTTTGCACTTGCAATTCAATGATCAAGCCATCTGGAAGGATTTCACAATTTTTTTTTTTTTTTTTTTACCTTGAAGCAAACGGAAGAGCGGAAACTTCCAATCGGATAAAATATAATATATTCATCCGAAATATATTCCGCGAAATGCTTTATAAATAATCTCTCGACTGCGATGCACATCGACTCGCTTACCGATTGCTCGAAGCGACATCTTTCGCAAGTGCTAGATGCTCTATTTTGCCTCGCCGTCAACAGGGTCCATAGAAAAGCATGGAGCCCATGTCGTTACGCCATCGATGACGTCACCAGCAGTTTTAATGCTCGTTCGAGACGCTTGGGGGGGGGGCGCAATAATCCACCAATCAGGAGCAACTTTAGTGTCACGTGACTCATCAGTGGCCTGAGCACTTGGGGGCAATCATGGCCCTTACGAGGCATGCTTAGCGAGGCCAGTCAACGAGCGACCGCATATAGATCACGTGGGTGGGAATGAGAGGAAGACCAGCTGTTTTGCATTTTTCTCCATGCTCTAACCTCGTGATTCAATCCTTTGGAATGCGGTCGGGATGACTTTCATCTGCTGCTTGTGAGATTTACTGTCTAATTCGAATAGAAATGTTTCTCTTGTGTTTGGCATTACTTACGAATTTTTGTCTTTCATCGTTATCGATGCAGAATCAAGCCAGAGACAAAGTTCGACCAGCAAGTAGCACTTTACTGCCATCTCCCGTCGGTCGTATGAACTACCGACCCCTGAAAGGCACGATGTAGGTTGCATATCCCAGATTTTCATCTCGTCCCCTCAACTGCAGCCTGTCTGAGGCCTACCCATTTCCCCGTGTCAGCAAAGAGACTGTTGCACCATTCTATTCATATAGCACTATTCTATTTATATTGTACCATTCTATTTATATTGTACCATTCTATTCATATTACCATCGAAGTTACAGCTCTGGTCGTGACGCCCTGACCCAGGTCGTGCCAGGCGCATGCGCACTGAGGTGGAGGTCTGAGGGTGGGGGGGGGTGCTGGCCGTTGCGCTTGTCGCTCTCGCTGGGAGAAAATTTCAAGTTCAGAGTTCGTAATGCGGCTTGAAGTTCGAAATGCAGTTCGATTCTGGCTTTATTTCAGGACGGGATGAGGTCAAAGGTCGCAGATGCCGTCGGACGACCTAACCGTGAGATAGACCCTTACAGAACAAGGCAGCCATCTCAGTGCAGGAGAGCTGGCAAAAAAATTGGCAATAATATGAAGGAAAAAAATTTCTGTTGAAATTTTTTTATTGCAAAAAATGAAATAAAAAAATTTGCTAACTTTGCCACAGTATGCCCCAAGGTCAAATGTTCTTTCTCCAGCGGAAGAACTGCTTATTGGATGGGAAATGGCGAAAGCTTCAATTTCCTTTAGCAGAAGTTTTCTCTTTAAAACTGAGCTATTGATATTAGGCTACCTCTTGTTTTCCCATAATAAATTTGAGTTCGCTTAACTTGAAGTTATGGACCCGGGGAGGATCCCTCCAAAGCGGGAAACGGCTAAGAATAACTGCAATCCATTAAGCAGAGGCAACGGCTACCTTTAATGAGCCCTTGCATACTTTATGAGCGCTTGTTTTTTTATTTATTCATGAGCTCTTAGTGAGGATTCTCAGAATTCTCGCAGCATGGAAGCGAGGCTTTCTGAAGTGAGGCTTTCTGAAGCGGTAGCAGCTTTGCTTAGAGGCCTTTTAGCTGAGATTAAGTCGGATGTCTCTGACTTATCCAAGCCAGATCCTCAGGTAAGATCCTCAGGTTAAATCCTCACCTTACTTAAGAGGAGGAAATCTTATAAGAGGATCGTGAATAATAGATGCAATGAGCATTCGCATCTCCCTCTGATCAATAGAGAAAATACCAGCTCGGATTTAGGTCAGAGAATTATCTCTGATGACGTCAATTTGGATAATTTGGACAATTTGGACTCCCATGATCTTGGAAGCCTTAAATGAAATCCTAGCACTGTGGTTGGCTTTCGTCGCTATGCCTTTCGCCCCTTCGAGGTAATTTTTTTTTTTTAGTTTTTCTTGCTAAACAGTTCCTCGTGGAAATTTGATCATGCAACTCTGGTGGTTGTGTCTCAATCATTCCGAAATTTTTTTATTATCAATGGTGGGATTAAGGTTAACCTACGATAGATTAACCGAGATTAATTGCATTTTTGGTCGAAGGATTACCATAGGAGGGGGTGAAAAGTCTCCCACTGACCTCATATTCAAAAGAATAACTTATTATAAGCTTCGCTTGATAAAGCGGCACTATCATCTCTCGGTGCAGGAACTGAATAACTGATAAACAGATATCTCCTGAAATATTTAGCAGGAGCGGGAAGCGACCCTCTGGTGCACACCTCAGCATCACGAAAGCTCAACAGAGAACGAATGAATATGCAGCGAAGACATGGGAGGATGCTCGGGCCGCGTCCCCGTTTCCTTGCGGCCGAGAGGGAGCGGACGGTCGTCAAACCGGGTGAGGGAGCGCGGGGAGGGGGGTCGGTCGGGTCGTTCGCTGGTGGAGTCCGCTTCATGGACGGGATCCGGACGTTCTCGCATATTTTTTTTTCATTAGTTTAAAAATTTTTGGAAGTTCGGTGATTTTCACGGTCCTTCTTCTTCCGAAGGAATAATATTCCAGGCTTCAAATTAAAATTATTTCTGTCAAATAGCGGAAGTGGAATACAAAGTTGGATCAGTTTTGAGGGAACTGGCTTTGACTTACAGGGTGTCCCAAAAAGGCTTTTAATTTTATTATTATTTAAAAAAAAGTTAATATCTCTCCAAATTACGTCTCAAATTAAATTAATAAAAAACAGTAAGCTGAAGTGCAACTCAAATATTTTCCAACCTGTTATTCGCGATTCTGCAGACGTCCAAACGACGTCTTCCTTTGCGCAGAGTGTGAGGCGCAGCCGTCTGGATGGCTGCGACGATCCTGTTGCTCGGATCGCTGAGATCGTCGACTTTTCTCGGGTATGCCATGCCCTTGACATGAGCCCGCAAAAAGAAGTCCAAGGGGGTACAATTTGTTCAGGTACGATAAATGGTACAGCAAAAGGTACAATAACAATTTCCAAGACCTCCTTGCACCTCCAAATTTTAGCAAACTTGACGAAAAATTGACGAGAAAATTGGAAATCGATCAATGTTAATCGATCAAATATTTGAGTTGCACTTTCTTCTACTGCTTAAAAAAAAAATTAATTTGAGGCGTAATTTAGAGAGATAATTTTTAAAAAATGTTTCCATACCTTTTGGGACACCCGGTACTTCCCGGAAAATCGGAGGGGATTTAAATCCCTGCAATTCCTGAATGAGAAAACTCTAATGCATGCCGCGACACGGCCTTCCGCTCCCCTTAACACGCGCTTCAATCGGTGTCGAGTGCTCCCACGAGGCAGCAGAAAAAAAATTAGCGTTTCCTTGAAAAATC